TATCCCATATTTGGTTTAGAAAATATAAAATCAAATGTTCGATAAAAATTAATCCTTAAATTATAGTTATTGTATTATTAATTCGTGCACTATTAATCCTTGTATTACAGTATATGGCTAACTTTTTTCTAAATCAAAAGACCCATATAAGAGCACTTTATCATTTTAAGTGCTACTATTGCCTAGTATGAGCCTAATATCACAAGTTGCATAAAAGAGAGTAATTATCACGGGTTAATAACTCGAAGTAATGAGACAATTTGGTTTGGTGGAAAGACGATGAGTATGAAAATACAAAAGGCATTAATACAGAGATATCGCTTTAAAAGACATAAGAGTAAATAGTTAAATATTACAAATTAGTGATAGTGTTTAATTTGTCTTTACCAATTCATTTTAAGTCATGTATATGGACTATGGTATACTACTAACTTTGGCATGTCTTTTTTAAGTATTTTCTTTCTTCTAATAATAAGTCTCACTATACACCCTTTCGTGCATAACAAAAGGTATACTAACTTTGGCATGTCTTCTTAAGTCATGTATAATATACTAACTTTGGCCTCCCCGTCTTTTAGTAGTTTTTTCCTAATTATCTATTTATACACCCTTTCGTGCAACCCATGTGATTATTCAGTTAGATAAGAAAGAAAAAGTTCTTATATTTCGTGTCATTGGAAAAATCGTTTAATTGTAAAAAAGTATTTTAGTTTATTAAGAAAAGGAAATTAGAGAAATATTTGTTCCAACATCCAAAAATAAGAAATAAAGAATTGATACAAAAATTTTCATTGGTTTAACGGCTACCTTGACTAAAATAGTTTATATTTTATAATAAAGTCTAGCGAATTGAAGTGAGAAAAGTGGGTAGAAAATAACTACTAGTACTACTTTATGGGTTATTGTAGCTTGTAATGACTTTATTTTGCACTTAACTCTGAACTTTAAGTTTCGGCGTGCTACCTTTAGGAGATAGGTACTTGTAAAACAACAAACTCTGTTTAATTCCATAACGGGGTTTGTGGAGGATTGTGTGTACGCAAATGATATCTCTACCTATCAAAGGTACAGATGCTATAAGTATTTATAATAGAGTTCTAAAAGGATATAAAAAAACTTGTTACGCAGATAATATCTCTACCTACCTACAAGTTTGGTGAAATGAGAAATTGGTCATTTCCCATTAGTTCTTCTATTGATAAAAGTTTTGCACACACATTAAAAATATGCTTGTGTATATTTGATATATATATATATATATATATTAGAGCATTGGCGGCTCACGAACATTGGAGGCTTAAAGCCATACTTTTTTAAAGGCCTTAAACTTAAAAAAAAAAAAAGAGTCAAACTTTATAGTTGACATATGTAAATACAAACAAATAATAATAAAAAGTAATATACCACTATGAGGTAAAAAGCTAAAAATAAAAAAATTCAAATTTACAAAAAAAAAAATATTAGAAAGTTAGAACAATAGAATCTGATTCTAGAATTCATAACTTAATACATCAAAATAAAACTTCATTGTTGCTGCAATGCTGAAAATGAAAAAGAAGCAATTATTATTTATTCAACATCTTTTATTCGTAAATATTTATACTCATCCCTCTGGGAGTTTACACCTAACTAAATATTTAATCTTAAGAATGAACAAATCAAAGTGAAAATGATATTACTCGACAACGGTTAAGCGCTCAAAAATATATATATATGCGAGACATATGTCTTATATTCATTGCCTTGCTATAAATATCCTATGCAAATAAGTTTTTATCATTTTTCATCCGTTATTTTGTAGAAAATAGACAACTTAGAGAAAAAAAAAAGAATATAAAATATAAGTTTTATTATGAGAAAGAAAACAAGAAGTATATTAATGTTAGAATGTAAATTAGTTATAAATCACCCTAAATCACATTGGCTAAATAATTTTCTATCTTTTTATGAAAATCTTATACTCTTTTACCATAAATATTCAATATATTTTGGAAAAGATTACCATAAAATTAACCTATCATTAATTAAAAATAGGGCCCTAATATTTGTAAAAATTGTACGGGGCGCCCTATTTGGTCGCCCCCATTTAAACTATATCAATTTTTTTTGAAAAGTTTTAACTTGTATCCATTTTTTAAACAATTTCCGCCCCCTTTCTCCTCCTCCTCCTCCTCCTTTGTTTTCTTCTTCTTCTTCTTCTTCTTCTTCTTTCTTCTGCTGCTGTTGGTGCTGCTATGAAACTTCAGTTCATGGGATGATTGCCATAAATATGTTTATCAGATTATTTAAAAATAAATTATAAATAATTACGTAAGTTAGTAGACAATAATTTGTGAATATTTCCACGTACGGGAAGTTTAAGGTCACACTTAGTGATTCTTTTCATGATACTTCTGTTCTTTTCACGTTTATTTGTTTCCAAAATTTATGATTTAGATACTGTTGGCAATCTGATTATTTTATAGTAGTCCGATTATAACAACTAATGAATCCAGGACAAAAAAACTTCAGCTTATTTAATGCTGAAGTTTTTACAAATGAACTAAATAACTTCAGCATCTTCTGCTGAAATTTTTGAAAAAGCTTATCCAGGACAAAAAAAACTTTAGCTTATTTAGTGCTGAAGTTTTTATAAATGAACTAAATAACTTCAGCCTCTTCTGCTGAATTTTTTGAAAAAGCTTAATGACAAAACTAATGAATCCAGGACAAAAAAACTTCAGCTTTTAGTGCTGAAATTTTTACAAATGAACTAAATAACTTCAGCATCTTCTGCTGAAGTTTTTGAAAAAGCTTATCCAGGACAAAAAAACTTTAGCTTATTTAGTGCTGAAGTTTTTATAAATGAACTAAATAACTTCAGCATCTTCTGCTGAAGTTTTTGAAAAAGCTTAATGACAAAACTAATGAACCCAGGACAAAAAAAGCTTCAGCTTATTTAGTGCAATTACAAACAAAAATTTCAGCAAATAGAGAACAAAACTTCAGCTACTATGCTTAAGTTCAGCAATTACAAACAAAAACTTCAGCAAATAGAGAATAAAACTTCAGCAATTACAAACAAAAACTTCAGCACATTTGGTTCAGCACACTTGCTACTTCAGGCCCATCTACTAGAATGCTGAAATTTTTGCGTGATTGCCTTTGCCACTTCAGTCCCGTATGCTGAAGTTATGCGAAAAAGTGGGTACGCTTGCAATTCTTTTTGCAAATCGGGCACAAGTTAAAACGTGACCCAAAAAGCGAGTGTAGATGCAAATACCTCCTAATATTTGGGGGCCTAAAGGCATTGCTTCATAGGCTTTACCCTCTTGTTCCTATATTCGTTCTTTGTAAAAACTTCTTCGCAATCTAGCGCTTTAATGATGCCCCTTTACTCGGTTTACCTGCACCAAATGGATGTTAAAGTATAGCGTTCTTAAAAGAGCGTTTTATATATATATGTAACTATTTTTTTTAAACACATATTTCGATCACTTGTGTCCAAAAGAACCACAATTAGATTCTGGACTCCCAAGTCTTCACACGCACTTGGAAAATATCTCTATAAAAATAATCTAACAGATAAGACTTGATTTCCATATTACTGAGTATAGTTATTTATTCCGTGATCACGGCAAAACATTACTTTTCTGTCCTTATTTTTATAACAAAATTGGAACTTTTTTTTTTTCCAAATAAAATTAACGCTTAACTTTGAAATATTCTTTCTCAACTTAACCTTAAATAGTTTTTATCACCCTAACCTAATATTGTTCAAGCACCTAGCTAAACATCAAAACAAAAGTAAGGAAAAAGGGTTAAATTTGCTTATATATCATTTGAAGTTGAGTAATTTCATGCAGCGTTGAATTTTATTTTTTAAATATTAGAATTATTGTGAGGAAAAAGTATCTTTTTTTTTCCTTATCCGGAAGGAGCATCAATTTAAGTAATTTTAAATTATAATAATCAATGATAAACATGGGGACTCTTTTCTTCAAAAGATTTGGCCTTATCGAGTCAGACAATTTCCAAATAACAAAGAGTATAAAATTAAATAATTTGAAAAATTCCCCCAAGAGCAAATAAAGTCCAAAAAAAGAGATAAGGAACACCCAAGTTGTTTTCCTTTAAAGACTAGCACTTGGCACATAGGGGTCCACGACAGACAAGAGAATCTAATACTGAAAGAGTAAGGAGTGCCACCTCATCAGATGTGAAAGCGAGTCAGCTTGTGGAGACAGCTAGCATGTGAAAATGAGTCAGCATGTACTTGACACCCGTTTGGCCATACATTTTACCAAAATAAATTTAAATTTAGTTAGCAAACACATGTTTGGCCGTTGATTTTACCTACATTTAACAAAATTCCAAATCCAAAAACCAGATCAATAGCTGGTTTTAGGCAAAAATATCAATATTATATTTTTTAAAAATTGTTCCAAACTTTTGTATTTTGACAAAGCCCATCATTTATTATTTTGAAACAATGTTGCTTCGTTTTCTCGATCATCTGATAGTGTATCATGTACTTTATTATAAAAATAATAATTTTGTACCAAATTTATTTATGTTCAGAATTATGATTTGTAATAATATAATAAATATTATTGATAATGGTACTGTTGTGTATTTGTGATAGTTTTTAGAACTTGTGGGTATAAGTCATGTTTTATGTTTTTCAAAATAAATTTGGGCATATATTTTAAAAATTAATGTCCAAACATATTTTTATCTTCAAATAAAACTTCATCCAAATCAAATTTTTCAAAATAAATTTGAGAATTTATGGCCCATGCTAACTTAAAATCACTCCATATTTTTTACTCGGTCCTTAATATTCGCAATAAAGTCCCTTTAATTTAAATTTGTTTAAAATTCATTTCGCCAAAATTTTTAACGGTAATTCCACTTTAATTGGCCGCTATCATTTACTCCCCCATTTCTTTTTAGTACTATTTATAATAATTCAGTATTAACTTGGCACTTGAAAAAAATCATTTATTTAAAAGTTTGTCGAATTTTGTACACCATTTGTCGACCACCGCATTTGCATTCAAAAATATCTTCTCATTGCATAGAAAGTAACTCCATACCGCCTGTACAAGAACAAGAGCATAAAGTTCAATTTTCTCTTACTTCTTTCCTTTCTAACCTAAACTATCAGACAACAACAAATAGAGCATATTCAGAAAGAACCGTCTCATTTTATACTTTTGTTAATGGTTAGATCTGTACTGCATTTTATCATTTTTCTTTTATAGATCTTTAGTTTGGTTGTTTATTTATATATAGAGAAAGAAAGATTTCATAGTTTTCTAGGTGTTTTGTTAAAATGGCTGATGATAAGAAGTACATAACTGCTGAAGAGCTAAAGAAGCATAACAAAGCAGAGGATTTGTGGATCTCTATACAGGGAAAAGTTTACAATGCGACAAATTGGATTAAGGACCATCCAGGTGGGGATATCCCTATTCTTAATCTGGCTGGCCAAGAAGCAACTGATGCATTCATTGCTTTTCATCCAGGTACTGCTTGGAAATATCTTGATAAGTTCTTTACTGGCTATTATTTGGAGGATTACGAGGCATCTGAGGTATCTAAAGATTATAGGAAACTTTGTTCCGAGTTTGCTAAAGCTGGTTTGTTTGAAGAGAAAGGTCATGGGGTGATTTATTCCTTATGTTTTGTAGCATTTTTGCTTTTCTTGACTGTTTATGGTGTTCTTTATAGTAATAGTTTCTGGATTCGTATGCTTTGTGGGGGGTTATTAGGGTTGGCTTGGATGCAGGTTTCTTACTTGGGTCATGATTCTGGTCATTATTTAATCATGACAACTCGTGGTTTCAACAAATTGGTACAAATTCTAGCAGGGAATTGCATTACTGGGATTAGTATTGCTTGGTGGAATTGGACACACAACGCCCATCATGTGGCCTGCAATAGTCTAGATTATGACCCTGATCTTCAGCACTTGCCTGTTTTTGCTGTCTCTACTAGTCTGTTTAAATCATTGTACTCTACCTTCTATGGAAGAGAGCTCACATTCGATTCCCTGGCTAAATTCTTCGTCAGCTATCAACATTTTACGTTCTATCCGATTGTCTGTGTTTCGAGGGTGAATCTGTTTATCCAGACATTGTTGCTATTGTTCTCAAGGAGAAAAGTGAGTAATAGACTTATGAACATATTGGGGATCATGGTTTTCTGGACTTGGTTTCCGCTTCTTGTTTCCACCTTGCCTAATTGGACAGAGAGGGTGTTATTTGTCCTCATAAGCTTTGCTGTGACAGGGATTCAACACGTTCAATTCTGTCTGAACCATTTTGCTGCAGATGTCTATGTTGGACAACCCAAGGGGAACGATTGGTTCGAGAAACAAACAGCCGGGACTATTGACATTGCTTGTTCTCCTCAGATGGATTGGTTCTTTGGAGGATTGCAGTTCCAGCTTGAGCATCATCTCTTCCCAAGGCTGCCTAGGTGCCAATTGAGGAAAATTTCTCCTATTGTACAGGATCTATGCAAGAAGCACAATTTGCCCTACAGGAGTTTGTCTTTCTTTGAGGCCAATAGGTGGACAATAAGGACACTCAGGGTAGCGGCAATGCAGGCTAGAAGTTTGCTATGGGAAGCTGTTAATACTCATGGCTAATAATTTTGTGCACGGTATTGAAGATCTTCCTAAGTCTGTTTATTCTCATTACAATTGAATAATGTCTATTTGAATTTTTGTTTCTGGATTGGAACAAAGAGTGAATTTTTGTGATTTCTGTTTCAGGAACATCCTTAAAATTCTTTCAGCATATGTTTAATGAAGAAGAAAACATGATTTAGGAGCATCTATTTGGACTTATATAGTTCATATCAATATATTTATAAATATTTTGCCTCTTTCTATGGTTTCTCGTTAGTATGATCAGATTATCCTTTGGTCAAGGGATGAGACTTTTAGCTATAACATTGTAATTCAGGGAAACTTTTAAAATTTATGGGCACATTTCATGACCAAATTTGTCTAACAGTATTGTATTTCATTATATTCATTATCCCGGAGAATTTAAGTTTACTACCAATATGAGTTAACAAGAAGAATTGGAGTTGAGAGACTAGTTTTGGAGTGTGTACATAGAAAGGGAGTAAACGTGCCTTAACATTAGCCAGTTTGATCATTATAATTCTTTGGACCATAGCATAATCCCTCCTTGTTATATGTTAGTACTTGTAAAGTTATAAATGACTTCCCGCTTAAGGGCGTCTCGATAAAATTAGTGGCTCAAAAAGTTAATTTTTAGTTGGTGTCATGAACACATACATATATATGCAAGAAGTTAGTGTCGCCCTTCTTTTACATACTTGTTTATAGTGTAGTATTTTTACAAAGAGATAAAACCATTAAGTTCACAACATACATCTAATAGTATATTATTATTTATTTAATTCAAATTAATAAGATATTGGCCATGTGTTTGCATTATATTAACGTGGATTCCTGTTGTAGGAATTTTTTTTGTTACTAATATGAAGATTTTAATAGTTTAATTTAAAGTTCTAAAAAATTTTTACTGTCTTTTAAAAAATTTCTTTATAAAAATTTTGTATTTCTTTTTTCTTTATTCCACAAACTTTAGTATCTTTAAAGGAAAAATCAAATTATAAAATCTACTAAGTATTAAAAATTTTAGATGCTACTGCAACCAATTTCTTACACCAGTTAAATCTTCATTGAGAAAATGATTAGTAAACTATTACTGTATTTGTTTCGAGCACAAAACCATGGATAAGAGCGCGAGGCTTTAATAACGAAAAGAACTATCCTCCGTTCCAAAAGGGAAGTTTCTAGTTGAGCTTGGATGGGTTTTTAGATTTTTCTGCCCCATTAGCTGTTGTCTACCTTTTTTTTTCTTTCTTTTTTAATTATTTTTTTCCCACTGTATACATTGCATTTACATGGGATATTACATAAGGAGCGGACCCCTTGATCTGTTTTTCAATCACTTCGAAAGGTTTCTATTGGATTTAACAGACTAACTTAAGGGTAGAAGTCTTTGAACAAAATGTAGAGAGTTGCGACGAGCGCAAAACTGATGTGTAAAAATTAAGCTTGCTAGTTAGAGATAGTATAGATTATTATCATTTTTACATGGATTGGATTACATAATGTTAATGGATAGATTGCACAATGTTCAAGTAATTTCTGAATTAAATGCTATCTAGAATGATCAACACATTGATTTGGAATAATTACTAATTACAGTTTACGAACTAAATTAAAAGCAAGTAAAAATTGATCATATGAACTAGAGACTAGACCAAACTTGGGTTATTATCCATATGAGAATTAAGGGCATGACATGATTGGCCAAGACTACTATCTGGGAATTGATATTGTTAAAATTCACTTTTAGTGTGCTATTAATTCTCACGAAATCAATAGGTTATTAGCTTATTCTTTTGAACAGATTTCTCTTTCGATTAAACCTAAACCTTTCAAGTCAACTAACGTGAAGTGCGGTGAAAATATACAAGAATTTGTTAGTAAAAATAATCTAAGAGAAACTTCTCGCAAATATTTTTCAATCTTAATTTAAATAGTAGATCACAAAGCTCTTTTGATTATTTAAAGAACTACCAATTAAAATTAAGGATGTGTTGTAACAATATTCAATATTATGTTTCTCTTTCAATTAAACAAGATAACGAATAAAATCACAAAACTTATTTATGAATTCCGCTTCGACATCACCTGGTAGAAATTAATCCGGGACCGATGCTAGTAGTTAGATTCAATATTCAAAAAGTCTTAAATAGAAGCCAAATCCAGTAAAGCCTCTCATTATTATTATTTCACTTTTATGCTTCAATCAGGCCTATATTCGCATCAATACATGTTCCTATGCCCATTCCAATCTTGTCTAACTTTGCTAACTCCCCCTTCTCAACCCGTATCTTGTTCGTTCTGGAAACACGTACCTTGACAAGCCCCACGATGCTTCTGGCAGCCATCATCGCAGGGACGAAGAGATTCCCAAGACCATAATTATAGACTCATTCTGCACCAGCCCACTAGCAAAACAAAAGGCAAGGAACTTCTTTGACTAGTATAGTATCGGGAACATGCCTAGAAGAGGATTTCAGAATTCCGGAGGCGCGCAAAGAGTCAAAGCTCCTCCAATAAATTCAAGCAAAAAAAATAATAATAAAATTCATGAATAACAACCAAGTCACCAAATCATGTTAAACTCTAAGGTAACTATTCCATAGCAATGGAGGAAGTCGTCACATAATGGTTAAGAAATATAAAAACCATCCAAACTAACTTTCACGATACAAACTCTCGTATTGAATCGATCATTCATGAGAAAATTGATGAATTCTTGTGTTTCCACGCCTTAGCCGCTCTCCAAAGCTCTCATAATCGTTTCTAGGTCAAACTCCCTTCAAAAATCATATTTATAGTATATTTATATCGAGTATGGGCGAAACGGGACCAAAACACACTCTCTAAGCTGGACTGGGAAAACTGGGCGAACTTTTACATAGGCGCGCCGCCCTGCATCTCGCATATATGGGATTCTCGAAGGCCTCGCCAAATTCCCTCTTCTGAACATTTCCACTGCCGCGTCGCCCCCTGGCGACGCGCCATGCGGCACGGTAGTGTATTTGCTGCACTTCAGCTCTTTCTTCACCTTTTGACATTCATACTTGGTCCTCGAACCCCGAACACAATCTCGATTTAATTGCATGAACTTCTACCCAGACTTCGAATCTCTATTTCATCCATTTTAGCTCCAGAACTGCTACTCAACTCGGAATCACATCCTACATAGTATAACACACAATAAGTACAAAGTACTCTCGGTTAGGCTCAAACACAACTAAAGTACAGTAATTAGAGTGCAGAAAACTTGAGAATTCCTAGCCTACCTTCAAGTTGAAGTAAGAAAGTGCTAAGAAAATGCTAAGTAGAATAATTTAAGGTGTAAATCGGGAAGTAGCTAATAATTTAGGAGGTTAAAATCTCTTGCTCTTAATAATTCCATATAGACTAAGGTTATAAAGGAGTTCCAAATGAAGTACAAGCATGGCGAATTGAACAAATAGGTCAATTGCGCAAAAGGGTTTTAGAATATCAAGCGATGTTGATATGTTATATGCATATATTATATTATATCGTTAGACATCAATAGCTTTTGGCCTGTAAAGAAGTCTCAACACTCGGAAGAGAATAATTAGGAACCGGCCAACAACAAAGAAATTTGATGCTCACATACTTGTATTTAGGGGTGTACGTGAACCGGGTTGGTTCGGTTTTAATCAAAACTAAACCAAACCAATTATATCGATTTGGATTGATTCAGTTTTGTCGGATTTTTTGTTACTTGAATATTATTTCAATCTTGCTTTGTTAATTTTTTATAAGTAAATATATGTTTAGTAAAAATATAAAAAAAATTGACAGACATATTATCTACTAAAATATTCTTATGGGAGAATTTTTTTAGTAACACATACTGTCGTTTGACAATAATTTTTTGTTGATGTACACTTTAAAGGTTAACTAAATTTAGTAATTAAACATAAAAATCAATATGATACTTAAATAATAATAATCGCTTCACATTTGAAAATGATATAAGAATTTAATAGATCTTAACATATGATACGAATATGAAAGAACAAAGAGATTAACGCATTTTAGTAACACTTGATAAGCAAGTGATCACACAATCCATTATTTAAGGTTTATAAATATAGAGTATTTCATATTCTATCAAATATTATATCCCGCAAGAGAATCCTAAATATTTCTAGATATTTTGTAAAAAAAATTATTTATAAAATCTTAAATGTATATATAAAAACTATATGTTTATATGTCGAGTTCAGGTTCTTTTTACTCAGTGCCAAACTAAATTAAATCAAACTTAATCGGATTTCTGAATCGATAGGTTTGACTTTTTGATTTGATCGGTTTTCCGGTTCGGTTTGTACACCACTGCAATTGTATCAACCCTTATAACGGGAGGGAATTTCCCTTTGAAGTGGAAGAGGAGTCTTCTCGAGTCAAATTAAATTGAAAATAGGTTTTTCTAAAAAGTTATTTTCCACGTGTCAATTATTAATTCATTGCTTGGTGTGTGAAAATCACACACTTCATTTTCTCAGAGATTTTCATTTTTGTCTTTAATTATACACTTTTAACTATCTTCAAGTATGTTGGTTAATGGAAGAAGAAATGGCTTCTTTCATTCAGAGAGGGGCTTAAGGCAGGGAGACCCTCTCTCCCCTTCTCTCTTTATTTTAAGTGCTGAAATTTTTTTACAAATGTTGAACAAGCTAACTAGTAGAGTGGGCTACAAAAGTTTTTACATGAAGGCTAACTGTCCTAAAGTTAATCATCTTTCTTTTGCAGATGACACTATTCTATTCTGTAATGGAAACAAGAGGTCCATGAGATTGGTATTGAGCACCTTAAAGGAATATGAGAAGATCTCTGGGCAGCTCATCAATAAGAACAAGAGCTGCTTTGCAATGAGCTACAAGACCAGCCTGGTCACTATCAACAGAATGAAGGCTATCACTGGCATGAAATATCAAAAATTCCCTTTTAAATACTTGGGATGTCCTCTCACAATAGGGAGAAAGAAGATCGAATTTTATTCAGATATTGTGAACAAAGTCATTGGAAGAATCAAAGGTTGGCATACCAAACTCCTCTCAACTGGAGGAAGAGCAATTCTCATTAGACATGTCCTCCTAGCTCTCCCTATTCACTTCTTGGCTGCTGTGAACCCACCAAAAGGAACTATAGAGCTCATTGAGAAATTTGTAGCAAGATTCTTCTGGTCTGGAAAAGACAGTGGAGGAAAGTATCACTGGGCTGCATGGAAAAATTTGTGTTATCCTTATGATGAAGGAGGAGCTAATTTTAGGAGGCTCATTGATACCTGTAAGGCCTTTAGAGCAAAGTAGTGGTGGAATCTGAGAACTTCAGACTCTCTATGGGGATCTTTCATGATTGCTAAGTACTGTGAGTCGAATCACCCTATTACCATTAAGTGGAATAAGGGGATCTCGCAGAATTGGAAAGCCATATGTGACATCAAAGAAGAAATGGAGCTCAATATTGTCTGGAACATTGGAAAAGCAGATGTCTCCTTCTGGTTTGACAATTGGTGCCTATTAGGTCCTCTGTACAAGACTACTACCTATGAGGTCCCATTACCAAACATCAAACTGAATGAGATTCTTCAGAACAACACCTGGAACTGGAACTCCCTCACCATTCAACCAAATGAAGGCACCAAATCTCATCTATTATCCTTAGGCATTGAATTGGAAAACAATTGCTATGATAAAGCCAATTGGAGCCTTTCCAAATCAAGAAAATTTACCATAAGCTCCACCTGGAATGCTATTAGGCAAAGAAAAGACCACAATCCTCTCTATAAGAACTTATGGACTAAGAACATTCCTTTCAAGATGTCTTTCCTCCTATGGAGAGCAGTTGGTAACAAACTCTGCACTGACAAGAGTGTGGCCAGGCTTGGAATTGCTCTACCTCCCCAATGCTATTGCTGTAACTCTACCAATAGTCGAACTGATCTGGAAAACACTAACCACATATTCTGCCAAGGTGAACTTGCAAGGAAGATATGGAGGAGTTTTGCGAGGCCATTGGGTATTGGTTGGAATTTCAATAACTTGAACATGACCCTTCTAACTTGGTGGAACCACAAATCATCCAATCCAATCTCGAGATACATCATGAAAAACCTCCCACCTATCATTTGTTGGGAAATTTGGAGATCAAGATGTGGCAACAAATATGAAGGGACTAGACCCTCAATGTATAGAATCTGTTCTAATATCACTTCTTTTATCTTGCAGATGGTCAAGAAACAGTTTAGTAGAGTACACAATGGAGACAACTGGAGCAGTTTATACGCAGCTTGTGAAGCACAGATCCAACAGACAAGCAGTATCACAGTGCGATGGCTCAGACCACTTGCGCAAATAGTCAAGCTGAACAGTGATGAAAGTTTCACTAACGGGCAATGTGGAGGGGGAGGAATTATTAGAAATCAAGAAGGAAAGTTCATCATGGCATACTCCATCCCTCTAGGAGCAGGCACCAGCAACTACGCAGAAGCAGAAACACTTCTCTTTGGACTGACATGGTGTGCGGACAGAGATCTCAAGATGGCTATAGGAGAGTCTGACTCGCTCCTAATAGTCAATTATGTCAAAAGGGAGTGGAAGTCACCATGGAACATCAGCAAGCAAATTAAAGAGATCCAGAAAATGATTGAAGATCACAGCTTCAACATCAATCACTGCTTCAGAGAAGCCAATAGACCTGCAGATAGTTTAGCAACTCTGAGTCATAGAATTGAGGGAAACATGATCTTGAACCTTTTCTCTGATCTCCCTAACCATGTAAAGGGCCTAGTAAATATGGACAAATGGGGCTTACCTACCTTTAGAATTAAGCACACAAAACCCTCTAACATCATCTATGATCCTCCTTGAGCATGCTCTGTTTTTGTTATCCTTTAACTAGGATATAGAAGATTAGTCACATCTCAATGATCATGTACAAAGTTTGGGATGCCAAACTCAAATTTTAACTTTTTGCACATCAATGATCAATGGTGACTGTTTAATAAAAAAAAAAAAGTATTCAATCGGTAAACCTTTTGGATAACATGTCTAAATAAAAAAATATGGACAAGTTTGAGGGGTTGTCTATGTATTTGGCCTTCTTTTTTCATAAAACAAGATCCTATCTCAAACTAAGACAGGCTTGCTCCATCTTAACTTCCTCAATTACTCTACAATACTACCTTAGTTTGGTGTTGTGTTCATGCCTATTTTCAAAAATTGAAAGTTTTATTCTTTTATTACTCCCTATCGATAACAAAAAAGAAGTGGAAAAAAAATGTGGCAGGAGTTAGCATTGAGCCCACAAATTTTTGTCAAGCGAATATTTTATGTAAAAATAAATAAACCTTCTAGTTTTGTCAAGAGTTCTTTTAGCATAAGGTCATTTGACTTTATTCAGGCGTAGTATCTAAAATACTAATTTGACAATAATAAAATAAGGCATGTCTATCTTAAGATTGATGAATAAAATTTTCCTTTAAAACTATTCTAACCTAATTTGGAAAGGAAATCCTCCAACCAAACAGCTGACTTCCATGACCATATATTTAGTAATTTTAACTCATTACTACCTCCTACGGGTGTTGGACCATTGTTGACAATTCATCACTTTAAAATTATTCAAAGTGCCTTTGCATAATTTATGATCGTAGGTCATGCCAAAGTTTATATAATAAATATGCCGATCACCCCACGTTACTTTGAACTTTACAATTGGAAAGTGCCAAGTGGGACATGTAGCATAATGCCAACAGAATTTATTTAATCTTTTATTATATGTGAAACTGAGTCAACAAGTGGTGACACCCACTTCTTTATTTTTTTTTTCTTCTTAAAAAACAAGTCAAAATATTCAAATACTATTATTTTTAGACCCCGTCTAGGTACATTTCTCTCTCTTAAAATATCTATTTTAGGCATCGAACCTTCTTCTCTAAGCATCGACTAAATCCAGATACCACTTTAGAAAAAAGAATAAGACACAATGTCCAATTTTCTCTTAGGTTATTTAATTCAGGCACAGTCACATCTCTCTCCTCCTCTTTTTTTTTTTTTTTTTTTTCCAGACACAGTCACATCCAGATGCAGATTTAGGAGTTTGATTTTATAAGTTCTCTATTTTAGAACAATAATTTCAAGTGCTAATAATTGGATTTATAATTTAGTGTGCATATTAAATAAATTATCCAAAACATATTTTGGATTGGGCTAAAACTACTAAATTCTATCAAACCCATATATTCAAGGTGACATCCAGTGTTTTAAAAGGTGGGGGCGTAAGGCGAGGCGTTTTACCTATGATGAGGCGAGGCGCAAGCCCTGAGACATGAGACGTAAGTCCCACGAATCTTTAATATTTTACTAATTTCAAGAATTTTAAGATAGTTTAAAATAAAAAATTATAAAAATTACATTAAAATCACAAAATTATAACAAATAATCTATTTAAAATATATATAAATTATAATTCAACTATGAATAATACGAAAAGTATGACATTATATCTTAATATGCAAATTAGCTGCAACGTCATTACAACTCAAACATCAAAAGTAATGTATACGATGCGAAATCTTATATGTATCTCTTAAGGAGTAATGAATCTTGAAAGAATTTCGACATTATAATTTGATTTTTTTAAATATCCCTTTTATTTAATATGCTCTCTATTTGAAAGAAAATTTATATAAAAACATAATTCACAATTTAAATATGATTCTCTAGCATAATTTGTTTTTAAGTTTTAACAAGTTAATAAAGTGACACATAATTCACCATACTATACCATGATAACTAATTATTTGTAAATAGTTACTACTCCGCTAATACTGAGCTATTAAATCAATAAGTATTGTATCTCATAAACGTGAAAAAAATAATATTTATGAAAATAATTACAAAAAAAAAAGTTATGGACTATTATATAATAAAGACATAACAAAAGTTAATACATAAATACTTTTAAATGAAAGATTTATTTAAAATTTACGATCATAGCATTAAGTGCAATAATTTTTATTTTAATTATGACATAAAATACTCTCAACTTAATGATTTATGATTAAGAAAAAAGTAATTTTGAATAGTCAACGATTTATTAAGAAACTTTGAGGATTTACAAGGTTAGTTACACACAATTGTATAAAGTTCTATTAGGCGAGCCCAGTACGCTGGGCGTTGAGCGTGTCCAGGGCGTAAGCCCCGACGGCCGAGGCGTAAGTCTCACGGAACTAAACCCCACACATAAGCCCAAGGGCGTTTTATGAGTGCTCCGCCCTAGGGCGAGCCCCGGGCGAGTCCCAATTCTACCTTTTAAAACAGAGGTGACATCCACCCGGAAAGAACTACATCAAAACCACTCCATCTTGTACTTTTGATTCGTTAATATAAATAAGGGGGTTGGTTTGTTGTTAATGGTTATATTCCTTCTGCATCTATCATAGTTTGGTGTTTGTTTGTTACAACAGGTGATTCCATATTATAACAATAAGAACAACAATAATAACAACAACAAATCCAGTAAATTTCTACTAGTGGGAGTCTAAGGAAGGTAATTATATATACGCAGCCTACCCCTACTCTTGAAAGACAAAAAGTGACGTTAATTAGAACAAAAATTAGACATTAACACTTTACTTAGGCAAGAAAGACAACTTACATAATTTGTTTCCTTATATGTATTTGGCAATTGCAAGTAAGGCGTAACTAGAAGAGCACATTCATCCTTTTGGACATAAAAGTATCAAATTGTGAACGCCGATGAATACAATCTTAACATATATGAGACTGAGTCAACATATGGTGACAGCAACTTCTTTTTTCTCGAAACGAGTCGATTTTTCGTAAATTACGTAGAATTTTATGTACACATTACGTGAATTTACGCATGAGACTATGCAGGTAGTATACATTTCATTTTCTATTTAAATTAATATTCACTTTGCATTATTTACCCAAGGTTAGCAAAGCAGCAGACTATTTTTATTTAAATATAAGCTTAATAATCAACAAGGGATATATCCATCTTAAAGATTATAAATTTCCATAGCTATATTTCCAACCAAATGAAATTCGCTTTCTGTTCTAGTAATTAAGAAAATAATAATAAGGGATCATGCCAAAATAATATGGCAATCACCACATGCTGTTGTCTACAACACATTACTTAGAACTTCAACAGAAGCAAGAAAACTTAGATATTTTTCAATTGGCAGCAAGTAGGACATAACAATAAATTCGCGGAAAAAGTCGCACAATGCCTATGGAATTTACTAATCTTAATATAGTGAAACTGAGTCAAGTATTTTTAGACCAGCCGTCTTGGCACATTTCTCTCTCTTAAAATATCTGCTTTAGGCATCGAAACTTCCTCTAAGTATTGACGGGCCATTCAACAGGGAGATTCTGAAATTGCAAAGGCTTGATTTAATCAAATCGTTGAATGTTGAAAATATGCTATAGCGCTTACTCCCAATAATGTTGAAGCGCATAATTAGTTGAAGATCACGAGACGAGGAAGTTCACAATATTGTGAAATTTTTTGTGTCCTTACGAATATTGAGTTTAAATTATATACAATTTAGTGTAAAAAAATTCACATCACCAAGTTATTTTTATTTGTTGTATTATGTCATATGTCGTATTTGTAAGATCACAAATCTCATATTTTATGAAAACTTACCTATAAATATTCTTTAGATAACTTTTTTTGTGTAAAATAATTTTTATATTGGCGATATATATAATTTAAATTCATCAATATTATGATGCGCGCATTACTATAGATGGACAGAATAGTATGAAATTTGGAACGCCGGGCAACGCAATCTTAATTGACGTGAAACCGAGTCAACAAATGGTGACAACCACTCCTTCTTTTTCTCAAAACGAGTCAAATTTTTTGTTATTTACCGTTTTATACGAATTGTAATGGCTTATTAGCTCAACTCACTCTATATGTGAACTTGACTATAGGGTTTTAGAGGTTCTAAGGATTCTATTATAATATTTATGTTTATTTTGCGTTAGGTAAACAACAACAAAATTCAATGTATTCCCATAAATGGGGTCTGGATTATTGTGCGTCAGACCAAATACATAAATAGGTAGCCCTCAAAGTTGCCAAATTTTTTCAGCATAAGCACCTCAACTGACTTTAACCTATTAGACACCTAGTAAAGATATGTTTAAAATATGCCAATTGTAACGCACCTTTAGTTTAAGCTCATAAAATTTAAAATTATTTTTTGTATTTTTAAGCTCAATAATTAAAACATATAAAATGAGATTAATGAAGTATTTAAATTTATACATATATACACACAAACACACACGATATCCGTTTGTGTTAAGTGATAATAGGTGAATTTGACTATAATCACACCCTAAATAATCACCTTCTTGTGTAGTTTTAATGCTAAAAGTGATGACAAAATGCTCTTATTAGTGCTTTTCATGATTTGTAGGTGATATATGTATAAAGACGGCTAAGGAGCAGTTTTGGAGTCAAAAGTGATGAAAAAGAGGCCAACTGTGAAATTTCCTAAGTGACCCGTGCAAAAACAGGCCGAAGATTCAGAGAACTGGATCCACCGCGGTTTCACCGCGACCGCGGCAGAACCGCGGTGGGAAGCAGCTGCAGAAGTTCAGAGATTCCGCGAGGGTGTTTGGCCGCGGTTCTACCGCGACCGCGGCAGAACCGCGGCAGGCGCAGAAACTTCAGGGACCAAAGTGTCAATTACGGGATTTTTAGACCTAAACCCTATTTAAAACATTAGACTTCGCCCAAGAGAGGCATGTATTGATTTTTTAGGTTTCTTAGCAAGGAAAAAGATTGTGAGAAAATACTCTAAACATCTTTCTTCTTT